ATTTGGTATGCTTGCCTTTATTGGTCAGTGCATTGAGTATAAGAGTTGGGAGGTTATGTTGTGGCTGTATAGGACATTGGTTAGGCCACTTTTAGAATATTGCATTCAGTTCTGGTCTCCCTGCTCTTGGAAGTATGTTGTGAAACTTGTGAAAGCATGTTGCCAGGGTTGGAGAGTTTGAGCTATAGGGAGAGACTGAATAGGCTGGGGCTATTTTCCCTGGAGCGTCAGAGGCTAAGGGGCATTGATAGGGTGACTAGCCAAGGTCTTTTTTGGGTAGGGGAGTCTGAAACTTGAGGGCATCGGTTTAAAGTGATAGAGGAAAAATTTAAAAGGGACCTGAGGGGCAACATTTTCACACAGAGGGTGGTGTATGTGTGGAATGAGCTGCCAGAGGAAGTGGTGGAGGCTGGTACAATCACAACATTTAAAAGGAATCTGAAAGGATATATGTATGGGAAGAGTTTAGAGGAATATAGGCTAAACACTGGCAAGTGGGAATGGATTATTTTAGCTTGGCATGGACAACTTGAACCAAAGGGTCTGTTTCTGCGTTGTGCACCTCTATGACTCTATGTTACTACTTCAAAGAATTCCAGTAAATTGATAAAATAAAATGTCCAAAACCATGCTGACTCCTCCCAATTACCTTGAGATCTTCCAATTGCCTAGTTATAATCCACTTAATGATTCATTCTAACACATTCATCATGAAAGCCATCAAACTAACTGCCTATTGTTTCTTCTTTTCTGCCTCTCTTGCTTTTTGAATAAATGAGTTATGTTTGCCACTTTCCAGTCTGATGGAACTGTTCCAGAGTCTTGGAACATTAACACCAGCACATCAGTAACCTACTCTTTTGAGAGACTAGGATGAAGTCCATCAGGATCTGAAGACTTATAAACCAGGAGACCTATCATAGCCTGAAATGTTTTCTCAACAGAGCCTTCCTGACCTGCTGAGTTTCTAGTTTTTTTTATATTGCAAAGTATTTTGCTATCTCCTTCATATTGGATCCAATTACTTCCATGGCCAGGTACTACCAACCCCAATTGCCTCAGGCTAAAGGGAGATGCAGTACTGTACACAATTCCACCAACAATGCAGCTATTCCCTTCATATCATATTGAATTGTCCGTCGTGGTTCTTAAACGTACAAATTTTTGGGTCACAGCCAAGAGTTATATCAACTGAGTAAAGTGTCAGGCTGGCTCATTTGGAAAAATGGGATAGAAATGTGTTCCTTTCATCTCATAGATTGTGATATTTTAAAAACAGTCTCATTTATGTGTAAAAATTGCATCATTAGACCACCATTTAATCAGACATTCATGTGCCAAACATCAGAATAATGCTTGAAAACATTATTTTACAGCACATTTTTTATCATTCTGGGCAATTCTCCAATATTGTCCATTTCCAATTCACACCTGTAGTCTCCTTTTCTCAACGTGTGCAGTTCTCATTCCAAATGGGCACCTTTTCAGCATAGCTAATTCACAACAATAAATATATTCTCGGTATCAGAATCTGCTTCTGTTTTACCCTTTGTCACTGATTAATTGCCAGTCTTTTCCTCTATCCTGTAAGCTAGAGCCTCAGTGACAGCCTGACTCCTTGAGCAATTACTTTTTGTCCTGTTTTGACTTTCCCCTTCAACTTTTACCTACTGAAAAGGCTGGATATTACTGACCTATAATGAGTGTGTTTTCTGTGTGGATGCATAAAACAGATTGGGTAGCCAGCCCAGTAACTTCCCACCCACCCCAAAGCTCACAGCATAACATGGAGGGTAGGCAGACCCTGAAACCAGAAGCTTATTCTCTTATTTAAATAAATATTCAAGGGTACATTGACCTTGCTAAAAACTCAAATGACTTCAATATCCTCCAACTTATGCATGAAAATATTGACAAATAGGCAGGAGTAAGCAATCAATTTTCTTTTTTTTTAAATGGCAGTCAGGAAGAGGTTTGCTATCCAAATTTATAACATTTTTTTTAAAATCAGCGAACATGTGGTATTCCCTTGCTTCTCCTAGTTGTCTTTGTTAAGCATGTCAAAAGCAACGTACTCTGTTGTCAACCTGGAAGAAATATTTGGGAGACTCAATGCAGCAACAATTGAATAGCAGCAAATTTAAAAACTGTAGCCCTGACTCAGTTAAGAAAAAAAAAATCTGCAGGGGATAATAAATATTCTGTTCTTCTTAATGTTCCTATGAAGTATTCCATTATCCACTTGAAAGATGCAGTACCAGTCTCCTGAAAGCTGAAATAATTCATCCAATGAGATATGGCATCAATGGTCTAGTGGTATTATTGCTGGGCTGTTCATCCAGAGACCCAGATAATGTTCTGAGGTCCTGTGTTTGAATCTCACCACGGCAGATGGTGGAATTTGAATTCAATAAATATCTGGAATTAAGAGGCTAATCATGACCATGAATTTATTGTGAGGAAAAGCCCATCTGGTACACTAATATCCTTTAGGGAAGGAAACTGCCATCCTTACCTGGTCTGGCCTACATGTGACTCTTGAGGTTGATTCTTAACTGCCCTCTGCAGTCAAGGATGGGCTAGTTCGGGGTGCCCTCATCCCACACATTTATTAAAAAAAAGTTATTTATATAGGAAACAAGGTCATGTTTGAGCTCAATTTGTTGGCCAATCTCAGGACAGCATATTTTCAGAGAGCAAAATCAGCCATTACTATCTCTTACTACATAATGTCCAATGATTCCAATTGACAACATCCTGTGTGAGAATTATGTGTTTGACAGGTTTGAGCTTGCTTACCATCAACAATGCCTTTTGCAATTCAATGCCTTCATATACTCACTATTTATACTTATTTTTGAACTATAGCCACATAAATGTTGTACTTGAGGGTGCCTGACCAACCCCGAGAGTCATAGCAGACTCTAAATGTTAATTCGTTTCTTCTCTCCCCACAGATGCTGCCAGATCTGGAAGTTTCTCCAGCATTCTCAGTGTTTGCTTCAGATTTCCAACAACTGCAGTTTTTGCTTTTATTCACCTTATAAGGAAATCATCACTGACTTCCAGAACTGCACTTTACTTTTATTCATTAAATGGATGTCTAAGCCTGAATGTATTGTTTATCCCTCATTGCATGTGACGTGTTACCAGGCATAAGAGGGCTGCATTCAGACCCTAGTCCATATGCCAGCTTACTACATGTTAAGGTTGTAGTTGAGTTCTGTGCCAGGGCTTCAGATGAGGATTTCAAAGTAATGACATACAGGTGAACGCTGATGCCACTGCACATCAAGATGTTTGGTGCAGTACGTCTACTTTCATACTTCACTCTCTGGCTTGGGATCAAATTAACAGTTTGAACAATGCAAATGTGTTAGGACAAGGACCCTTCGCAACATGGGACCCAGCACTAGCCATCCCACAAGTGACTAGCAGGAAATCACACCCAAATTTCTACCTTCATGTCCTGGACAACAGCCTAATTTCAGAGCCAAATAGGTTTTCTACATTCCAGCATGAACAAAGTCAATGGGCTGAATTATGGCTTTTGAAGTGGGGCAGAAATTTCCTCAGTTGCCAGACTCGCCCTCAATTAATAGTCCTCTGAATGGTATAGTTTTGGCTCTGGAAGGACGGATGTGAAATGGACTTTGGCACCCTGACCTCAGAAGCAGATCGAGGACATGGGCAATGCCAAGGTGGGCTCAGCAAGGAATCCACAGTCCCCAGCCACATTCAGTGGTCTAAGTCACGAACTTATAAACAAGGGTAATGAGTTTTCCTTTGAATTTAGCAATTTTTAAAAGCACATTTATATGTTACTATAGTCACTCCAGTTTACTTGTGTATACAATTCTATCCTGAGAAGAAAGATATTCGTTGTTGAAAGAATTGCTTGAGCACTCTGATTACTACTTTCATATTGCTGGATTTCAATGATGCTCCAATCATACAATCAGATTATCTTGTGTTGCTTCTTCATAGCTGATTTGTAATTATTTTATGAATAGGGTGTTTAATTGTGTCACATTTGGAGACTTGAATCAGTCTGTGGGTTGACTTAACAGACAGGTGATTCCAGCCAATCAATCTGTTGACACGTGGAGGAAATTGTTTTCTTTAGAGAATGTGCACAAGCTTTTGGGCTTTGAAATTTGAAGGCACGACACCTGTTTTTCAACTGCAAAGCAGTTTGAACATCCAATATGATGGATGGAGAGTTCATTCTGTGCTTGTGAAAAGAGACAGATGGATCTATGGTATCTAAGGCAGACAGTTCTCATTTTTATATTCTGTAAATACGGGCGCTAACAACTGCTGAGGATCCCTTTGCAAAATTGAATGTCCTAATTAAGATAGTGTTCAATTGTTCGCCTGTGCTGACTGCACCTGATTGGTCAAGCCTGGGGATGGACTCAGAGCAAAGTAAACAGACACTACTGAAAGACCTTGAAACTTCACTGTAAACACAAATGTAGACATTTTGCAATTGCAGAACAACAACCTATTAACAATTCTTAAAGGTTCAGCTGGAAGCTGCCACCAAAATGGTAAGGTTTTAAAAAGATACCTGAATGTGACGTTGGGAAAGGAGCAGTTAATTGTTCTCTAACTTTCCCCACTTCCCTTCCTCTCCCCCCATTCTGATCACCACCTCTGTCACAACCACCTTCTCCCTTTCCAATCCCTGCCCCATCCCTTTCTTATGGCCCATTTTCCCATCATTCCGCCTTCACCCAGAACCTACATGAAACTGAAATCCTCTTCTCCAGTAAATCTGCCTGGAAGTGGCAATCTGGACATCAGAAAGTCATCAGTCTCACATGAATGAGATCTGATTCCTGATATCGGGACTGCCACAGGCCTTTCCTGTTCTGGAATTATCATAGTGCAACCAATTTCTCGGCTTGTCCCTCCACTACCCTTCTACTCAGTGTGTGTTTTTCCTTAGAGTTTCATTACGAATAACCTTCCTTCCTCTTCTTCTCAACAGTTACTTGCACTAATTACAAAAAGACCCCGCCACCTGTACCACCTCGAACCACATCCAAACCAGTGATTTCAGTGACAGCCCAGAGCAGTACAGAATCAACTCAGGATGCATATCATGAGAACCGAGCTCAGAGGAGTTCCCCATGGCCCCAAGATGGCAGGATCATTTACAACTCAATGGACAGCCTGGACAGTACAAAGGCTGTGAACATTGCACTGGAGTCAGCTGCTACCCAGCACCACGCTATCAATAACAGCAAAAGCAGTGCAGTTTTAACCAGAGACAAAGCCATCTTAACCTTAGATGTGACAAAGGCAGAACAGTACCTGAAGAATCAGCGGTCCTCGATTGGGATTCAGGTAAGCTGTCATTGACATATCCTCTCTATGGCAACTCAAAGATAGTAAGAACTGCCGATGCTGGAGCCAGAGATAACACAGTGTGGAGCTGGAGGAACACAGCAGGCAAGGCAGCATCAGAGGAGTAGGAAAGCTGACTTTCAGGTCGGGACTCTTCTTCAGAAATTTCCGACCCGAAACATCAGTTTTCCTGCTCCTCTGATGCTGGCCGGCCTGCTATGTTCCTCCAGCTCCATACTGTGTTATCGCTTTATGGCAAGTTGGACACGTAACTACTGTAAATAGCATTGCATTACATGAGTTGCACAGATGAGTTGTTATTCAAACGTACACCAGCATGTGTAGTAATCAGGATCATAGTAAAACCAGTGGCAGAAAAGAAATTCAAAATAATAGCTGGAGGAAACAAAGATTCATCTAAAATCTCATCTCAATCAGAATTTATCATCAAATAGAATAAAAAAGGCATATTATAAGAAGGTTCAGGCAATTGGGATGACTGTAGATAGCACCATTTAATGAGCTGGTACTGACAAGCCACATTTGGAGTGTAGTGCACAGTTTTGGGCCCCATATCTCAGGAAAGATGTACTGCCCTGGAGCGGGTTCAGAGGAGGTTCACGAGTATGGTCCCAGGAATGAAAAGCTTAAACATATGAGGAACGTTGAGGACTCTGGGTCTATACTCGATGGAGTTTAGAAGGATGAGGGGGGATCTAATTGAAACTTACAGAATACTGAATGGCCTGGACAGAGTGAATGTTGGGAGGATGCTTCCATTGGTAGGAGAGACTCGGACGTGAGGGCACAGCCTTAGAGTAAAGGGAAGACCTTTTAGAACAGAGATAAGGAGAAACGTCTTCAGCCACAGAGAGTGGTGAATCTATGGAATTCACTGCCACAGAAGGCTGTGGAGGCCAGGCCATTGAGTATAATTAAGATGGAGACAGACAGGTTCTTGATTGTCAAGGGGATCAAGGATTACGGGGAGAAAGCAGGAGAATGGGGTTGAGAAACTTATCAGCCATGATTGAATGGTGGAACAGATTCAATGGGCTGAATGGCCTTACTTCTGCTCCTATGTCTTATGGTCTTATGGTTTTAATGCACTGAATGATTTCTGTCTGTGCTGTAATTGTTTTGATTCTATTGCATTCTGACTCTGTATATTGGGCCAGGTGGATGCCGTGGAGACAGCAACAGACTCAGACACAGACAGCAGAGGCCTTCGGGAGTACCACTCAGTGGGAGTGCAGGTTGAAGATGAAAAACGGTAATTCAAGCAAGAAATGAGTGCTCTTGCAAATTAAGCAATCTAGTTTTTATTTAAACAAACAACATGCAAACATCTGGAAAGAAAAGACTCCTTAGCTAAGGAGAATTAGAAAGGAAGTGTAAATGGGAACAAGTTAATTCCCAGTTGTGTTTCATTACAGCATTAATACAGCCCCATGCTGATTAGGAAGGATTCTCAATTAAGAAGTTATGGTCAGTGCTTTTTCTTTTCAGGGGTTATTTGCAGCATTGAGTCAAACTCAATTACAGCAGCAAAACAGCTGTTGAACACTGTATACTTGAGATAAGTGAAAGAAGTAAAAGGCAATAAAAGGGTCACTGTCTGAGAGGCAACCAGACTGTTCAGAATCTAGGTGTCCTATTTGACCTCAAGCTAAGCTCCTGATCCCATATCCACTCAGCATTAAGACTGACTACTTCCATGTCTGTAACATTTCCGTCTGAAACCCACCCCACCCTCCTCCACCCCAACAACCAAAAACCATAACTTACCTGCAGCTGAATCCCTCATCCATGCTTTTGTTCCCTCTAGACTCCGCTGTCCCAAAGCCTTCATGTCCAGCCTCCTGCCTCGCACATACCATAAAATTAAGATCCTCCAAAACTCTGTCTGTATCCTGACTTAGACTAAGTTCTGTACAAAAACAGAAGTTGCTGGAAAAACTCAGCAGGTCTGGCAGCATCTGTGAAGAAAAAAAATCAGAGTTAATGTTTCAGGTCCGGTGACCCTTCCTCTGAACTTCACCCTTTTTTCACTGATGTAAACATGGCTTCCAGTGCGGCAAATCCTCAAATTTAAAATTCTCATCCTCGTTTTAGATCCACCCATGACCTTTTCACTTTCAATCTCTGCATCTTCAACCAGTCCTATGACCCATGAAGATATCTGAATTTCTCCAGTTTTGGTCTCGTGTACAACCTCTATTGTAATTGCTCTACCCACTGGTGAACATACCTTCAGCTGCCTTGGTCTTAATCTCTGAAATTCCATTGTTAAACATCGCCAGCAATTTGCTTCTCTTTTCTCCTTCAAAACTTTCCTCATTAACCTAGCTTCTGATTACTTGTTCTAAAGAGTCTTTCTCTATATTCCAAGGTGTCAAATAGTGTTTGTTAAAGATCAATGAAATGATTTACCAGCCAAAGGCTGCTGTATCAATAAACATTGCTGTTGTCATTGTTGTTTAAAAATAATCTCCACGCTGTTATTGAAAAGGCCTGTTTAGCTAGTACATTTTTGTCAAAACGTGGAATAGATTATATGATCAGTCAAAGACACCACTATAAAATCAGCTGAATGAGACCCGGATATTGTTTGCTAAAGAAATGAGAAGTAACACTGGAACCATAGTTATTATTTTTAAAAATTATAAAAATAAATTTTGGATTATCAACAATAGGGAATGAAATGGAAACTAGCTTTCTTGCTTCAAAGCAGCAACACTTGAATTATGTATGTGAGGACTTACAGTTACTCTGTTTAGAAGTCAGTGGCACTAAAGCAATTCGGAATGATAAACGCAAACTAGATCATGCCCATGTTGACAACCTGGGAAATAAAATAAATGCATTAAACCTGTACTGCTAGATATTCTTCAAAATGACAATGAAACCTAACACTTTGGACATTTTTAACTATTTGAGGATTTAGAAATTTTTTCAGACTTTCCAAATGGAATGTCAATTTCTTATTCAAAAGGCAAACAAATCTTTGTATTTTGCATGCGTATGGGTTACTTATATTGAACCTTTTAAGTGGAATTTTTGAAATACTATAAAACTAAAGGATATAATTTTATCTCATAAGCTGCATAACGTTGGGCCAGCTTCTCAAAGTTAAGTCTGAACCCAGCACCTGTATTAATTATGAGGCCTGACCATGTGCTATATTGCTATAACATTACTGTGTAACAATATTTTTTTATATGGAAATGGACAGGTAGTGAGACTGGTGCCCAATCAGTATCATTAACCATCTCCAGGAGGTAGGAGCTGCCTGCCATTTTGCCAATGCCAAAGAAACGCAGCAGTCATGTTTGAGACTACCATTGTCTTTCCCATAAATGGTGCAGGCAGTTTCTTAGAAGACTAGGAGCTAAAGCGCAGAGTACAATGGGTATGCAAACATAAGAATGTTCCAGTGTTGAGTGCAGTCCCAGTTGGCCCAACAAAATTCAATCTTCTACAAAGTTAAATTTACTTTCTCTTGTCCTCTGAACAAACCCAGCTACTTGCATTGATGTGCACCTGTGAATTTGAGTTCTCCAAAATGAACATTAAAAAAGGCAATCTTCTCCATAAAGATCCCTTAGCAAGATCCTTAAGAAGCTTAGTTGTCCATCAATTGAATATCAGGGTGTCTCCCATTGCTCAGCTTCTGTCAAACATGTGAAAATTTCAACTTGATCTAGAGGCATTGAGATCCAGAGAGGAAGTCCAAGACTGTGATCTTCAAACCATGTGTACATGAGAACCTGATCCAGTTGGCTTTTAAAAATCCAGTAAGGGCAAAATACTGTAGATGCTGGAAATCTGAAGTAAAAACAGTAAGTGTTGTAAAAAACTCAGCAGGTCTGGCAGTATCTGTTGGGAGAGAGGCAGATTTAATACGTCGAGTCCAAATGACTGTTGTACAGAACCGTTCCACAAATGCTGCCAGATCTGCTGAGTTTCTCAAGCACCTTTGGTTTTTATTTGAAAATCTAGTGCTTTGGATCCTTACCACCATAGTTCAAAACTTAAATAATAATTTGAATGAAGTTGATAATTTGAACTGAATTGTGATAAGGTGCAGAATTCTAATGTAACAAGTAGGATTTTCAAATAGGCAGTTTGATTGATATGCTATATCTGGCACCAAAGTAAAAAAATCTAACTTTCTCAATTTATCTAGTAGTTAATATATTCATTGTGTTTTGCAGGCGCGGGCGATTTAAGCGTTCAAACAGTGTGACAGCCAGTGTACAGGCTGATCTTGAACTAGAAGGATTTCCTAGTCCAGTTGCCACTGAGGACAAAGCACTTCAGTTTGGTTCCTCATTCCAGCGTCATTCTGAGCCCAGCACCCCTACCCAATACACTGCACTCAGAACTGTGCGCACGCAGGGTCCTCTGGGCTACAGAGAAGATTATCGAACACCCATTGACACATCTAATTTTCCACCACCGGATCCATGGCTGGAATCTACCCATCAACCAGTGGAAACTGGCCGAATGTCCCCTTGTCGAAGAGATGGTCAGTGGTTCATGAAGCTGCTGCATGCAGAAACAAAGAGGATGGAAGGATGGTGTAAGCAGATGGAGAGAGAAGCGGAGGAGAATGACCTATTGGAAGAAAGTAAGAACGGCACCTTTTGTTTTCTCGGTTGAGTCTCAAAATGAAATTAGATATTCTGAAGTTTGAGTACAATGAGAATGGTCAAGGGAAAATGGAAGAGGAGATTAGAGGTGATACTGTTTAAAAATTCCAACATTTCTAAATGTCACCATATTCTCTTAATTTATGCATTTTTGCGATTATCAAAAATTCAGTAATTAATCACATGCTTCATTTTGTGATTCTGGACTAATCCAAATCATTCCAAGAGTTCTCTAATTTTATCTAGTGCGACAGACTCTGAGCATTTGCCCAGAAACCAGGTCTAACTGACATTTACCACCATCTGATTCTATGGCACAATTCAAAAGATTCTTGAAGAATGCTGGTTAGTGTCTCTGTTATCTCCCACAGTGTAAAATTCTGAAATTCATCTTCTCTGAATCTAGTGACTTTTCTATCTTAGTTCTCAATGCTGCACCTTGTTTAATAAGTTTAATTTGAGAATTTTATCATTATAGTGGCTGTTTTATTAACTCTTCAACCACTCCTACTTACTACTATTTCTAAACAAAAAGGGTAAATACTTTTGAAACTTCTCTGTTATTCATTCACTATTAACTACCAGTTGCTCCTTCAATCATTGGTGTTCACAATATTTTTCTTTATATTGATTGCTGGTCTGTTTCATCCTCCCTCTTTCTTAATGTGCCTTTTTTTTCACAAATGATCTCCAGCCTTGACAAATTGCCTTTCATCCTCTTTGTAACATATTTAACTGCACCTCATCCATGTTATTTTTCAATTATTTCCACTGCTCTGTTTTTAACTTCTAAACAAGTAATTGGGTCCTTTACTTAGTGCAAATACTTTACAGTAGTCCAAACTAAACCTCTTTCCAGTAAGCTAAAGAATGGCAATGAGTTGGTCACAATATTAAGAATCTGTATGGACCTCGAGATAGTGTTAAGTGAGCACTGTAAAATATGATACTTTTCCAAAAATACTGGCTAGAGAAATATTCATGGTGGGAAACAGGCTTTCTTTTTGTCAAGTGTTTCCTCAGTTAATATGTTGCTGCTGTACAAAGGAAGGGTCTCCTTGATTTGAGTATAGATAGCAGAGAGAAGAAAATAAGTATCCTAACTTAGCATGTTAGGGTTCTTTTTCTCACTAGTACTGAATTGGCAACCTTACTTTTAAAGACAATGAAAGATTAGGATATGTTAAGTAACATTATAGTGTTTCCAGGGAGACACTGGAAGACAGAAGAAATTTAAGATGATCACAAAAAGACTTAAAGGGATGATTGGGAAAAATATGTACATTGTGACTGTTAGAATAAAGACTGTTATAATAAATACACATAAAAACAAATAACTTTTGAAATGAGATACAAATTTCCCAGTAAACACCTCAAAGAATGTTCAACAAGAGTTCACATCTTAAGACTTTTTTCTGTAATAGGCTGTAATCAAAACAAACTGAACAGCTGCTAAAACATTAAACTACAGAAAAGGTATTTTCTACTAACTCCTTAATATAACATTGTATCTGTGATGAAGGTTCATGATAGATTATTGTTATTCAGAAATATGGGTTTTAAAGTGACAGAAATATCTATGGCTTTATGTATGATTTATTATTTGCATATTGTGTGTTTTAAAAGGGGAGACATATTAATAGTTTCATCTTGGATTAGTTCTGTGAGTGGTAAGGGTTGTTGGGAAATTTGCTTACACGCATTTAAATTAACGCAATCTAAAATAATCCTTGAAATGCATAGACCACTGCTTTCGGAAGGAAAGGTTGAAGAGAAAAAAAAGAGCTGTTGCCTAGCCACAAAGTGTCCTATAAAACAGATAGACAGAGATAAACACAAGTTCTTTCAGAAAGCCAGAACCTTCCAGAAGACCATTAAATGGGCAGGTTTTTGTTTCAGATGAGAGAAGCAGATCATTCAGAGGGAAAAGGCCTGTTCCAACAGCAGTGCAGTTTAGCAGGCTCCAAAATAGGCAGGGCAGGAAAAAAGTTCTGAGTGGCCTAATGTGTGTAAAAGAAAACCTTCAGAAATACAAGGCTATGGAAGAGGCAGTAAGTAAACCATGTTAAGAAATAAGTGAGCTTTGTTAATAATTTGTTTTAGGGTCTCTGGAAGAGATGTTGATTAAAGAAATAGCATCAAGTGAATGCAGAAGTTTGTCAGAAAAAGATCATGGAAGTCATACCCACTGAACAAAAAATTTTAAAGTGGAAACAGGGTGACTGTTTGTTGAGGTTTGAGTATCAGTCAGGTAAAAGGGTTGAAACTCTATTTCAAATATTTGTAATAATATTTTCCAAATTATTCTTATATGGTGTAAAATAGATTTTGTTCTATTTTGTGTGTAATAAACTTTGATTTTCTTTTATTATTTCATGCGTGTGGGTGTTGCTGGCAAGATCCGCATTTAATGTCCATGCCCTAATTGTTCCTTTGGGGTAAATCCCCATTTCAGAGGCAGTTAAGAGTAAACCACATTACAATTGCTCTGAAGTCGCATGACTGGACAAGGATCACAGATTTCCCTTCCTAATGGATATTAGTGAAACACCTGAGTCTTTATGATAATCAATGATAGTTTCATGGTCACCAACACTGAGGCTAGCTTTTAATTCCAGACTTTTATTCATTGAATCCAAATTCCCAATCTGCCATGGTGGAATTTGAACCTATGTCCCCAGAGTATTAGCCTGAACCTCTAAATGACCAGTGTAGTGACATTACCTCTGCACTACTGTCTCCCCTAAATATTAACAGTACAGTGGCAGCCTCCTGTGAACATGTTCAGTGACTGACCACCATTGTAAACAAATAGCAGAAATAAATACTTATGATCCATCAAGACCGAGAGATTGTCGAATTTATCTGCTGCAAGCTATTAGAGTTGCAGTGTTTATAAAGACCTTGAAAATTCAATTATATAAATGTTTGAAATGATTGTATGTATTAATATTGGGAGAAAGAAGGAGATTTGTATTAAGCTCTGTAGCTCAAATGATAGATGCCAGCATAGACCTGATTTCCCAGATGGTCTCTTTCTCTCCTGCAACATTCAATTATTCTAAATTCTAGCAGTATAGGGCAATGGCCAGTATTATAGCGTACAATTAAAAAAATGACAAAAAGTGGACTATATTCCTTCTATTTCAAGTGAGGTTTCTGTGAAACTATAAATGAGCAATGTCAAATGACATTAAGAGATCAATATGTTAAAAATTCTCCTGGAAAATCATTTACAACAGGATTGATTTTGAAGATGTTAGCAATAACTAGATTATTTCAATCAATTAGCGGTACCCCTTGATTTACGTTGTTTCATCTTGTGTGTTTTGTTCAAAATGAACTTGTGGAAGAGAAGTTTGTAAAGTAATTGTGTGATTTAAATCTGAATGCTTTGCATATTTGTGTGAGTAATTTAACCTGATTAGTCCATGATTAAGACATCCTTACAGCTGTTTACAGCAGAAATGTTGCTCAACATACCATCTACAAAGAAGCACAAGGATTGGAAATAATTAAATACTGCTCTAGAAGGCATATCTACAGTTTGTAAAGTCTACTTTTTGAATAACATATTATTATTTTGTCATTTAACAAACTATACATCAGGAATTAAACAATGCATTATGATATTTGTGCTACAGATACTAGATGATGTTTGCTGAAACTTTTTTAAAGTGTTTTCACTTGGCTGATTATTGTCCAATTCTTAGCTATGCAACGGCATGAATTTACCTAAAACCATTCCTGGGATTAGCTACATTGAGAATATATAACAGGGCTTTGCAAAGATCAGTATGAAAAAACTAAAACGAGTTCAATCAGTTTGTTATCATCAGTGAAGGGTTTATTTTCTCAAAAGATGATATAAGATATTCATTCATGCCACCAGAATGTGATTTTAGTCCAAATAATGTTCTGTATGTTGCAACATTTGTTGATACTACAGAATTTGAGAAGTGCTGAAAGAAAGAGTTTCTCACCAACAATCCATACACATAATGAACAGACTGGTAATTGGTTAGCAAATGTATTCTACTGGTTGAGGTGTTGCCATGGAGAATGCATTAGCAAACAAGTCCCTCAAAGCAATTGTTTATATTTTAAAAAGAGGCAAGTTGTTTCTGATTGGTCAAGACATCGCCGTGGACAGTTGCTCCCCATCAATTTGGCTTTTGTTTAATTGAAAAAGTACATTGTCTGGACACATTCTTTTTTCCTGCAGATGGCTGGGCCTTGCATATGAACAAATGTACCTTCCCGCACGCCTAAGTGAGTCACATTGACAACTAATTTAGGAGCATCAGTTAGACAATGTAATTCTTGGCAGACATGGGATTATTGAGTCAAGTAGACCCTATGCTCTGAGTTTTGCAAGCAAGGGTTGGTCAAGTATGGTCAGTAGTTCACAACATGCCTTTATTTTTAAGCAGTATCATCTGATTACAATATGAAGCATGGAATTCCAGTAATTCTCTGACAGGCCCGAAAAATCACTGAAACTCCATCTCATAATCCAAGGAAAAATAATTTAAATACAATAAAAAGGGAGTTCAATAACTTTAATATGCTATATTTTATTTTATCCTCAGCTTTAGGGAAAATACGGAGTGCAGTGGGGAGTGCTCAGCTTCTTATGTCTCAGAAATTCCAACAGTTTTACTGGCTTTGCCAACAGAATCTGGTAGGTGCCTTCCCTGTCTTTTCCACTTGTAAAAGTTTACAATTCTGTCTACACTGGCAAAGTCTGTATATCTCACTGTTCTTATAGTTAATGTCAAATAATTTGCAGTGGTTGCTTGTATGTGCTCTGGATTTTTTTCATCACAAGATGTGATTATTATGTTCACGTATATAGTGTTACCAGATTTTACCAGCCTGACCAAAACTGGCTCACTGCTTTAGAAGGCTCTATATACTAAATATAGGGAACTGCCTCTTGTCTCTAGATGTTATGCTGATATCACGATGGATGTATTTTAATGATATTTTTCTTTATTCTGATAATGTATCAATTCCTGATGCAACATTTACAATCAGTTCTGGAAATTTCAGTTATGCGCAAGGCAATGCCAAATAGTTCACTAATGAACACAATCATTGTTTATTTAGGGCAGGTGGATTGAGTAGAGTCGTAGAGTCTTAGAGCTGTACAGCATGGAAACAGATCTTTCAGTCCAACTCGTCCATGCCGACTAGATATCCTAAATTAATCTATTCCCATTTGCCAGCATTTGGCCCATATCCCTCTAAACCCTTCCTATTCATATACCCATCCAGATGCCTTTTAAATGTTGTAATTTTACCAGCCTCCACCACTTCCTCAGGCAGCTCATTTCATACACGCACCACCTTCCATGTGAAAAAGTTGCCCCTTAGGTCCCTTTTAAACCCTTCCCCTCTCACGTTAAATCTATGCCCAACCCCAAGGAAAAGACCTTGTCTATTCACTCTATCCATGCCCTTCATGATTTTATAAACCTCTAAAAGGTCACCCCTCAGCCTCTGATGCTCCACAGAAAATAGCCCCAGCGTATTCAGCCTTTCCCTATAGCTCAAACCCTCTAACCCTGGCAACATCCATGTAAATTTTTTCTGTACCCTTTCAAGTTTCACAACATCCTTCTGATAGCAGGGAGACCAGAACTGCACGCTGTATTCCAAAAGTGGCCTAACCAATGTCCTGTACAGCCACAACATAATGTCTCAACTCCTATACTCAATGCACTGACTAATAAAGGCAAGCATACCAAATGCCTTCTTCACTATCCTGTCTACCTGTGACTCCACTTTCAAGGAACTATGAACCTGCACTCCAAGGTCTCTTTGTTCAGCAACACTCCCTAGGACCTTACCATTAAGTGTATAAGTCCTGCCCTGATTTGCCTTTCCAAAATGCAGCACCTCACATTTATCTAAATTAAACTCTATCTGCCATTCCTCTGCCCATTGGGCTATCTGATCAAGATCCCATTGTACTCTGAGATAACTTTATTCGCTGTCAACTACATCTCCAATTTTGGTGTCATCTGCAAACTTACTAGCCATACCTCCTATGTTCATATCCAAATCATTTGTATAAATGACAAAAAGCAGTGGACCCAGCACCAATCCTTGTGGCACACCACTAGTCATAGGCCTCCAGACTGAAAAGCAACCCTCCACCACCTCTACCCTCTGTCTTCTACCTTTGAGCCAGTTCTGTATCAAAATGGCTGGTTCTCCCTGTATTCCATGTGATCTAACTTTGCTAACCAGTCTATCATGAGGAACCATGTCGAACGCTTTACTGAAGCACTTAAAGATCACATCCACTGTTGTACCCTCATCAATCTTCTTCGTTACCTCTTCAAAAAAACTCAATCAAGTTAGTGAGACACAATTTCCAATGCACAAAGCCATTTTGACTATCCCTAATCAGTATTTGCCTTTCCAAATACATGTAAATTATGTCCCTCAGGATCATCTCCAACATCTTGCCCACCACCAAGGTCAGGCTCTCTGGTTTACAGTTCCCTGGCTTTTCCTTACCACCTTTCTTAAATAGTGGCACTGCATAAGCCAACCTGCAGTCTTCCGGCACCTCACCTGTGGCTATCGATGATACAAATATCGCAGCAAGAGACCCAGCAATCACTTCCCTAGCTTCCCACAGAGTTTTAGGGTCCATCCGATCAGGTCCCAGGGATTTATCCAATTTTATGCGTTATCTTCAATCTTCTATCAATATTGTTACTCTGTGCTTGTTTTTATGTGCAACCATGATCAATTGTTATTTATTGTCGCTATAAACATCAGTGGGCCATTTACTTGAGGTGCCATTTTACTGATCATCCAACAATCACACAATTAATGTGGATACAAAACAAGAATGGTCCTATGCTAATGAAATGCTTTCATCAGAATATTTTCACAAAGACAGGACAAGGAGGTACCACGGCATTCCGGAAGGCCAAATTAGTGATGCTTACTTGACCTTTGATCTTTAATTTCCATGAAAAGTTGGCTACCTACTGTTTACTTCCCAAAAAATTGAGCTCCTGGCTTGTAATGCGAAATCAGCCTAATCTTCAAACACAGCAGAAAACACAAATAAGATTGCACATTGTTGCAACTCCACAAATAACACGTTTCCAATTCAATTTTTTGCTTCACTGTACCTGAATGTAACTATAAATTGATGGGAGGAGTATTGGCAGATATGGACAATCAGATACAAGTTATTGCCAATGTTAAAGTGAGACATTCTTTTCCTCATTTTGTACTTCTTGTATAAATTCCTATGTTTGCACCCATAATGGGGACCAGGTCATGTAAACATTTCATGTCTACTCCACTAGACAAAGGCAAGATACCACCTACGGAGAAAAGATGTGATTATATAATAACAAAATTATGTTGGACATTTCCACGTGGCTATTTCCGTCATTAATGTGGACATCAGGTTTCAGAATTGAAGAATTGAACAGGAAGCACACAGATACATAACTTATCCATTGGTGCCCAAACAGTGGGTAGTGAGTGTACATGCAGTCCACAGTGCCTGTGCTTTGTCAGCCATATTGAAGTAGGGTCCTGCACAGGCAGCCAGGGCACACTCATGAAACAGGCATCAAGTTGTCTGCACACACAGAATAGGGTTGTAAACTCCCATTTCAAATGCCTATTACAGAATACCATGTTTTATATTGTAGATATTCTATCATCCCATTTAGACACTTTACAATCTGTACTGGTTTAACTCATTGCATACATTAGTATAATTTGTCTTATGGGAAATAAAGAAAAATTTTAATGGAGAGTCCTGATTAATGTAAATTTGCAATTTGCCTATACATTGAAATCCATGAAGTGAGATTAGTCACTCAGAAAGTACATTTTTAATTGAGATAAAATGCCCTTCAGATGTGAAAGACGAATATGTCCGCCAATGAGAATACTGACATTTAAGATGAATATGTGCACTTGATGTTGTGTATTTATAATGACCACTTTGCATTGACCACGTTAGTGATTAAATCATGAAACTGTAGTATATTTCAATTTTTTTTTAATTTGTAGGATGTTCGATATCCAAAAGCAAAGAACAAATAATTTGCTGCTATGAAAGATTACACACAATCAAACACATAAGAAGTGGGGTCTGTTTTTTTTTCATAAACACACAGTAGGATGGGAGATTTGTGAATCACTGGCCAATTATTCTGAGACTGTCAGAACAATTTGGACAATTACACATGTTATGCATTAAAGCAAATGCCTTCAAATGAAGGCGAGCATTAAATTGATGAAAGTGATTTCACAGTTCAGATATTTGTTCTTCCAAGTTGAAGCATCCCACAACTGTTGGGAAATATGGCCAGCTGAGATGACCTTTTAGATTTTTGCCTTTGTTTTATATATTTGTAGAAAACAAAATGTCAAAGTGAGTTATCTGGAGGCCACACTTCCCAATGAAACTATACACTTCCCAATGGAATTCCCAAAGTGATCAATTGAAAAATCAACAGTTTGGTTCTTATACAAACATAAATATTTATAATCAACTTGTTCAAACATGTGAAACATCTCTGGAGCACCCAGGCCTTCTGGCCTGGAGATAACGACACTACCACAAGAGGCCCTTTTGTACAAGTATGTAAGAATTATATGATATTCTCTTGTTAACAAGAACTCCAACAGGTGATTCTGAATTTCAACCCATAAAAATTGGAATTTCTTCTCTTTGGAAAACCTTTGTGATTTTCATATGGAAACAATGTTCCAGAAAATTGTCTTCAGAAATTGTCTTCAGCAATACACTTCAGTGTGTCTTGCTGCAATTAAGATTTGTTTGTGATTTATTATTGTTATCCAATTTATTATTGACCATTGGAGAATATGCTTTAACCTTCAGTTGTACCACAGCTTCCGACAATTATCTTTTAAAGATAAATTGGTCTAAAGGTGATTTTAGATATGCTTGAGTCATGTTTCTGCATATTAGGTTCTTCCAGTTTCACTCTGAAGTCAAAATAGAAATCAAGTTAAATAAGGTGGCACAGTGATTAATATTGCTGTCTCACACCACCAGGGACTCAGGTTCAATTCCAGCTTGAGCAATTTTCTTTGTGGAGTTTGCACTCTCTCCCCATGTCTGCACAGATTTCTTCCCATGATCCAAAAATGTGCAGGTTAGGAGGATTGGCCATGCTAAATTGTCCCATATTGTCCAGGTATGTGGGGTTAGCCATGGTAAAAACCCATGTGGGGTTATGGGGCGGCTCTGGGTGGGATTCTTTCTGGAGGGTCAGTGCAAATGTAATGGGCTAAATGGCCTCTTTTTGCACTGTAGGGATTCTGTAAGGAATGTCACGGTCATTGTATCTTATATTTAACACTGTCAGATGACATTCAACAACATACTGCCTTAGTAATTTGATTTCTAGCACATTACCTTACAATTGCTACAAACTTAATACTATGAAAGAAGCAAAGCATCTCTTTGCAAAAGTTGCCCCTTCTTCCTTCATATGTTGAAGCACCACAAAAATTGAAGGTTATAACAAGATTTTAAGATTTCATTAAAAATGATTTTCAGCAAAACGGTGCCACATAAAATTATTCAAAGTTTCATTTGAAGTATCATCACCATTTTTCTTCAGGAGGTCAAAATCTAAAGCAAAGATAATTCTTTGGCATAAAAATCAGTTTAAAACACTCAAGTTTACTTTTCTGCATTTCTGTTCAATTATTAAACTACTTCATGAAATAGTCTGCTGTACAAAGATGAAAATGATATTATAATGATTCAATTCTCCATGACAATGGCATCGAGATTTTGATATTTCAAAGTCAAACTGTTGAGCTCTCATAGATGAAAACTATTTCAGTTATTGTGCAGATGAAAGGACAAATTTAACTTGGAAGAAAAGATGCATTCTCAAGTTAACGAGTTAAAATCTTTGCTATGTCTCTTTTGATTACCCAGCATTATTTTGCTATCTTATTTCTAAGAAGCCAGAAAGATTCCCATTATTGTGGCACATGTGGGAAGGAATTGTGCCTCACGAATATGCAATGCGATGAACAGCGAAAGTATTTAAATATACGTAAATTGCAAAATCTGTTGTTTGGCAATTTTGAACATGACTTTTTTTAAATAATCTGGAATGAATTGTTTATCTATTATTTTTGTACCTGATAGGATCCCAGTGCGATGCCAAGACCTACCTCCCAGGATCTGGCAGGATTTTGGGACCTCCTGCAGCTTTCCATTGAGGATGTCAGCATGAAGTTTGATGAACTGCATCAGTTGAAGGCAAATGATTGGAAACCTATTGAGCCTTTTGAAAAACAGGTAAAGTAAGATGCTACAGTGAAATAAAACATAGCCAACAAAGTTAATATTCAACTAATATTGCTTTCCCCAGAAAGGCACAGCTCACCTCAGGTAAGTCTTGATGTCGGGATCAAATGCAGATCTGGAACCCTGACAGTGACACCTGACAGTGTAGATTAAGGGGAATTCTGCCTTTACCCTGGATATAATTACTGAGCATGTGCAAAAGGGATCATGTCAAAGTGATGTCAAATCACATTGAATTGGAACCTGGCTCTATAAGGCTCCAAATAAGGTATTCTCTCTTACCTTCCTCGGTATATAGTTGGACTTGAGAAATCCTGTTACTGTCACTCACAAGAGAGTACACCACTTACTATAGACATGAGGACTGTCTTCCCAACAATGGTCAGTAAAGAGGCCTCCACCCTGGACATCCCCAATTCAGAATGCTGTCAATACTTCTGATTAAACAGGAAGTCCTGTAGCATCAACTGCAAGAGGAAGGGTGGCTGTTGCTGTGACTGAAAGGAGGACGAGAGGTCACCTCTGTTTTGAAGCATCCTCCAAAGGTGAGAATTTTGTTGTTGTGCCAAGACCAACTTCACAGGCAGCCCCAGGAGATCAGAGGGCTAACCCCTCCAGCAATGGGGAGAGGGTAGCCATTGCCACCCATTTTCCTCATTTTCAGCCAGTGAAATCTTCAATGATTTCTTCATTAGACATTTGCTGTTGGTCATGTGTTTAATGCTGAGACTACACTAGCTGACCAGAGCACAGATCCTTGATGTCTAAAAGCAAAAATATCAAAGGGGAACGTTGAAGTAGGTTGGAAAGCAAATCACTGTATCTTTTATGCATCTACTGAGTAGCACAGTAAGTTTCTTGCGAGGCAACAGTGAGTTGCCAGTTAGAGGATCCTAGCATGTTAAAAGCCTTACTAATGACAAAACTCACCTCAGTAATACGCAGCTTTCTATCTTATCAATCATCAAGAAAGCTAGACATTGCCACCCAGGAGGCATTATTGTTCAGTAATCACTGGATAATGAGTGAACATGATTTGATGGTAATTAGATTATTGTCAACAATTGGTAGGGTTGGTAAGGTAGGAGATTGACCAAGAGAACATTTTGATAGTGAAGTTTACACGTGACAAACATATGGATGATGTTTCCATCAGCAGCTGAACTGAGACAACAATTAGACAGACACTACCTAGGGGTTGTGTGTTTGGAAGCTGCTGCCATGGAATCTATTGGAAGTTTCTGCAGTGCATACTGTATATGGTTCATACTGTAGTCATGGTACTCAAATAGTTTAAGCTAGTTGATGAAGTACCAATCCAGCAGATTGCTTTGTCTTGCGTGGTACTGAAGTTCTTTAGTGTACATGGATATTTGCCTGGGCAATTGGTAAGTATTCCATTGTATTCTTGACTTTTGCTTTGTAAATGGTAGAGATGGCTTTGAGGTGTTCGGGAGAAGTCACTCACCACAAAATACTGGGTTTTAGAAGCCAAGCTGTTTTTTGCAACCGGTGCAATTGAATTTCTGATCCACAGTGAAACTCAGATGTTGGAGAACTGAATGAGATGTTCTCTCACAATAGTTTGGCACAACATTGTGGGCCGAAGGGCCTGTACTGTGCTGTACCGTCCTATGATCCATGTTCTATGTTTGGCCCTTCCTTATTGGCCTTAGTCATGGTCTGGAACTTGTGTGACTTGAAGAGTCATAGGATATGGGTGTCAGAGGCAAGGCAAAAATTAGTTAACTATACTTTAATGCCCACAAAGAATGGTGGTGAGCCTTGAACTGCTACAGCCCATGTGGTAGAAGAACTTTCCACTGCATTGTTAAATGGATAATTTACAAATTATTGACTGTCCTACAATGAAGGATTGACAATTAGTGTCCATGCCAGGGAGGTGTGTGGATTGGACGCGACCTTGGAGGATTTGGTATTCCTATGCCTTGTTTTTCTAGGAATTAGAGGTCATAGGTTTGCAATGTATATGAATATGCATTGCATTTGCCCTTCAGCCATTAAACTGAAGTCTCTACAGTGCTGTAGTGGTGAGCAGACATTAGTTCCATGTTTCAAATGTTTCAGATGAGAATATTTACTTTCCTCTTACATTGGGGCTATAATTTTAAAGGAATCAAATTTATGGGGTGGCACAGTGGTTCAGTGGTTAGCACTGCTGCCTCATGGTACCAGGAATTCGGGTTTCGATTCCACCCTCAGGCGACTATGTGGAGTTTGCACATTCCCCTGTCTGCGTGGGTTTCCTCTGGGTGCTCCGGTTTCCTCCCATAGTCCAAAGATGTGCAGGCTGGATGGATTGGCCATGCCAAATTGCCCATCGTGTTCACGGATGTGTAGATTAGGTGGGTTATAGGGGATGGGTCTGGATGGGATGCTGTGTGGGTTGGTGTGGACTTGTTGGGCCAAAGGGCCTGTTTCCACACTGTAGGGATTCAATGATCTAAATTGTTCCTTGCCTGCTAAGAATAATAAATTGAGAGGTATTTATTTCATGTCCAAGTCAGACCAGGCAAATCAGACTGATCATTGTCAGGCCCAGCTTACCTCTGAGATCCATGCCTCTAATATGCTATTTGCTTCTCAAAGTGATCTAATTTATAGGATTGACTATGAATCAGATGAGCCCAAATGCTCTGAGTCCCTATGCCTCATATTCAAAGAACAAAACGGAGCACACAGGATGATATGGAGTTTGTTGGGTGTGGCACAGTTAAAGAAAAAAACTGGCTGTCATTTTACTTTGGTGTTTTATCAATTTGATATTGATGATTATTATTTTGTAATTTCTTAGGAGGAAAAGAAGATTCCGCCTCCAGTACCAAAGAAGCCACCTAAAGGAAAAATCCCTATTGTGCGAGAAAAGTCCCTGGACCTTCCAGACAGGCAACGGCAGGAGGCGAGGAAACGGCTAATGGCCGCCAAGCGAGCAGCTTCCTTTCGACAGAATTCAACCGCTGAGCGTGCAGATAGCATTGAGATTTACATCCCCGAGGCACAAACCAGGCTCTAAAGACAATCTCTTGCCTAGTGTCCTTTTTTCCGTTTACCATCGGCTCTCAATATTTGTCATGTACATTTCACAAACCAAGCCCGGTGGAATTAGTGTTGGGATTTCCATGGTAACTCTTGTCCCAGCCTCCACTGTGTATATTTCTTGCTGTTGTGTTCATTGTGCCATATATCACAGTGGAATGATTATAATTCTGGGTTTTTTAACTCATTGCAAGAATTCCTATATTCTGTAAGAAGAATCAATCCAAGGAGGTCACACTAAATATTCCACTTACCCATCAAGCTCTCTCAGAAACTATTAAAAGTGAAGGTCTTCTGGAGGAAGAATGCAAATTCAACTAACACACTATTTTCTATGAATTGGTTTGCTCAATGGGTTTGAGGGAATGGCTAAATAGCTAAAAAAAAGCCAGTTTCTCTGGAGAGCACAGTAGGTGCGAACTCATGAAACCAGAAGTTCCTGTGGTTTCAACAAAAGAAAATAGAAAGAATGAATAATGTGCCAACATAATTCCTTATCTCTCAACATTATAAATGTTATAATGTTTAACTCAGCTCCTAATAAGGGAACAGAAAGATGCTCTGCCCTGTGCTCAGCAGAACTGTTCCCCACTTAAAACTATTCAGGGACTGAACTCCAGTATGATTTGGGGGAAGTGTAGGTAAAAAGGTAAGAATAATTTCTCTAAAATAACTCTTGCAGCATAGTAATCTGCAGAATCTATTGGAACATAAGATAATTTCATCTGCTGAGGGATTGAAATCCCTCAGTTTCTGATGTCTTTGCCAAATGTTTGAAGACTTGAAAAAGGAAAAAAAAAGTTTTATTTTCTTGCCTTCTTTGCAAGTGTGCTGAAGTGTTATGTATCTTTTAAGTATAATGGGTGTGGGGGGTGTGAGTGCTCACCTTGCATGGGTGGCAAATATGTGCAATAGTGATCAGCCTCATTTTAAATGTGTGCCATTACAATCGTGCCAACGCAAAGGATGGATATGAAAGAGAGAGACTGAATGTAACTTCCCCATGAACGCTTGCCTTACTATAGCCAGATACTGGTAGTTAGAGCTTTCAACAAAGGAAATTCAGCAGTAATCTCCTGATAGTAATCACTCCAATCTCCCCTCCATCTAATATTCACTATGCTCTTTTGAGGGAACTCTTTATTCATACATATTGCGTTAACTCTTTTTGAATTGGCACGCTATTTCTGTTTTTATTTTCATTTATGGAAAAAGGGTGTACTAAATATGCTAGCTACAACAAAAAAAAATAGGCTTACAGTGTATTTTTAACCATTATTTATTGATTTGTTTTGGGTTTATTTTTAAGGATTATCTTGAAATTTTTGTATGTGGTTGGTATGAGTGCTCCTGGACAGTGTGTATGTCACGCTAATGCAACCAACAAGAGATTACTTGATTGTAGGTGCTCAGATTTCAGTCAAACTGTTTGGATGTGCACAGAGTTTGTTTTACCTGAGAGTGTTTTGTCTTTTTTTTAGTTTTTTCTTGGTTACTGTGAAGGAAAAGTGGCTGTTTAAATCCAGTGATATTTGTGGAAGCACTAAATTAGTCCACTTAAACCGGCCTTTTTACATAAAATTCTGAGCATAGCGCCCACTACAGCAGGATGCCTGACAGCACCACAATATACACTTGCACCTCATGTATGATTCATATTGTTACCAAACAGCCTTAAACTAAATTTGGAAGCAAAAACATGAATGAATGTACAGCCCCTAAATTTGCAAAAAAAAACTCCAAGCTATTTATTTTGTCACAAATAAATATGACCTAAAGTTAGGAGTTATTTGCCAAATGATACCTACTTAGAGAACATTAAAAAATATTTTAAAAGTTATCTGACAAATGTTTAAAGTAAATCTCTTGCTCACTCAGCTCTGTAGAAAAAAATGTTAAAGATTAGTATCCTTAGCCCTAGTCTTTAAACACTGTTCGTTTAGAAAAAAACATTTTATTCAAAGAATAGCTTCTCTTTAAATTCTGTCTCATCAAGGCTTGGAGTAAAAGTAGTATTGTGTTAAAAAAAACACATTTTGGTTTTTTGTGCTTTCTATGATCATTATTAGAAAGTTGACTGGGTTTGGTGAAAAATTTGGCTTTGTTTATATAATGTGGAAACTACTGAACTTGTTCTCAAGTGGTTGGTACTTGAGATTATCTCAGCTTCATCCAGAAATAGTCATTCATTTCTTTTGCACAACATCAGGATTACAATTTCATAACTTTAAAATATGAAATCTATCAGCAATTATTACTGACTTTCCCAAATTCAAAGATATTCCTGTGTTTTTTCCCTCTTTCCTGCTATTCAACACAAGTGCATCAATTTGACACATGCTAGGCAAACATTTAACTTAAAAGTGGCAAGGATTACCTTTTTATACACAGATTTAGTAAATAGATCAAGTATAAAGCAAAACATATCAATTTACAGATATCTTAACAGGACAGAATTGTAGCTTTGATGCTTTTTGTTATGATAACCCAAATGCCAATCAGTGTTGAATCCGACATAAAGGTATTGATTTTGTTCTTGTTGGTAAAACGTTACCTTTACTGTTAGGTTATGACACCTATTCTAAGTGCAATATACCATGTATATCATTGGTGGTAATGGTAACGTCAGGGCAACTGAACAAAAGGCAATATTTGTTTTTTTTAGACTCTCCACGTTTCTCTATTAGGCCTAGTAAATAGCAATGCTATTTTGTACATGTATACTTCTCATTACAGACTGAGCTTGTATTTGATAGCAAATCGTAAACTAATGCAAAGAAGTCTGAATGTTCTATTAAGTACCATTAACTTTAATTGCACGTTAAATGAAGCAACATTAGTTGCATTTAATGTCGATCCATGCTGTCATTTTAACTAAACATGCTTTATAAATTGAACATAATATTTACTCATAAGTGTGTTGAAGTTTTTTTTGGGGGGCATTTTGTGGCAGGGATGGAGCATGCTGGCGGGTGTTCTTTTTAAGAAAGAAAATGATATCACCACAAAGAACAGATATTCCGTTAGTTCAAGCCAGTAGAAAATATGCTAAGGATCAGAATTTGATGGCAATATGCAGAATTTAATGCACATTTCATTATTAATATGTAAATCATCTAATAAATTGTAGAAAGGTAAAGCTACCCGATGCATTATGAACAGCCACAAGTTGTTAGACAATTTGTACTGCTGCTTCATGAACCTCACGTAAATGACAGCTCACGATCAATCTCTCCATGAGTTTCAAGAAATTGCTTGCATTTGCACATTAATTGACAATTAAGCTTCCTGCATAAAATTTGAATGGTATTTAATGGTACCTTTTTAATGAGGCGATTTATGGCCCTGCAAAGTCTCACAGCCTCTACAGCCCAGAAAGAAAGCAATTTAAATGTATATTCTCATTTCTACAAGTAACAAATTATTGTTGGAGATGTTTGTTAATTCAATTTTTAATGGTATTGATTTTGCTTTTCTATCTTTATCTTGTCTCTGTCAAAGAAATCTTTCCCACTTCTCATTTCCCTTTCTAACCTGATTTGATTCTAACATGATTGTTGTTCTGATTTATTTTTCTTAATCCATAAATGTTATACTGGTTAAGGAGAGAGATTGACCAAAATTTTCACCTAGTTCTTAAATGCCTCATTGCCTTTCCTGTGTCTTTACCAGAACACACTTGAGGCACAGAAGTATTTTGAGCTGAAGAGTGAGGAGTAAAATGAAACTAATGGGGTATTGTCATGGGATAAGGCATCCAGTAAATTGTGGACCCATACCTATGCCAGTAGCATACAAACTGTGGCAATTTGGGGAGAACTGCAATTCTTCACAAATGTATACAATTAATTATTACAAATATTTCAGGTGTAATAAGAAATACAGTCATTTAACTTAAAATACTGCTTACTAAACAAACAGAAAAATAATTATATCTGTAGAAAACAGAGTCGAGTGCCAATTACTGTGTTTTTGTTTGCACAGCAACGTTCTTCTAGAACAACAAATGATTGTCCATAAATCTATCTCTTTTGCCTTCCTGTTCCTTTTGATATGCACTACTTATCAGCATGCAAGATACAGATATTAATATTGAATGTACGGTGAGCTATTTTGCTGAAAGTGATTCCTTGGTACTTGCTGATGCTTTCTTTTGCAATTTTGTAATTTGTTTTTTGGGAGGAAAACATGATTGACATCATTTTATTTGCACTACTTTTTCTGTTGATGACTGCTTAAATCTGTAGTTAATGATCACAGTATGTGTTTATTACAGTGTCATTCCATTGCTTTTTTGACAGAGTTCCCACACACTGTGTAATGCTGATACCCTTCACCAAATGTAAATATATTCTGCACTTAAAACCTTTGTTTGGGGGGAAGTTTCTGATGTTTTTGTCCACTGGAAAAGCTGTGTTATACCAGTGACAGAACTGAACCCTGAAATGGACTGATTTTGCTTCTGATTGTACAGAAGGAACACTGCCCTCCTCACCTATGTTCATTTCCCATATTTACAGAAGAAATGATATTTTAAAACTGATGCCTCTGTAAAGGAAACTTTAAAGAAATCCAGTCCTGACATACTTCCTTCCAGTGAAATATGAGCTGAATGTTTGATAAACTTATGAGTTGTTTGAAAATGATGGCCTTGTGTGTTGTAGTATTACTATTCTTTAATGCATCAAAGGATCTCCGAACTGTTACGACATAAAAGGAGACCATTCAGCCTATCGTGTCTGCACCAGCTTTTCAACAAGCATCAATACTTAATGCCAGAGGTAGTCGGAACTGCCGATGCTGGAGTCTGAGATAACAAGGTGTGGAGCTGAATGAACACAGCAGGCCAGGCAGCATCAGAGGAGCAAGAAAGCCCACGTTTTGGGTCTGGACCCTTCTTCAGAAAATCTTTCTGAATCATTTCAGAAAATCATTTTCTGAAGAAGGGTCCAGACCCAAATGTCAGCTTTCCTGTTC